CCCATGATGTACGTCTACGTTCGGGTGAGCAAGTTCATACGTGTATATATCGTCAGAAACACACAGGCACCTCTCAAACAATCGCCCCGTGGTGTTCCCAGCCAACTACCAATCGACACAAATCACCCCCCTTTTCTCTCCTGACTCTTCAAAAGCCACACTCTCGCTGTCTCCAGCCCCTCCCCTCGCAACTCTCCCTTCTGTGTCCAGTGGGAACAGGCTTTGTCTGTTTTTCGTTTTAGCGTTTCCAATATTCTGCCGTTAGTTAAAGTACAGTGGGGATAAAAGGATTTAGTCAGCTACCAATTGTGCAAGTTCTCCCACTTAAAAAGATGAGAGAGGCCTGTAATTTTCATCATAGGTACATGTCAACTATGACAGACAAAATGAGGGAAAAAAATCCAGAAAATCACATTGTAGGATTTTTAATGAATTTATTTGCAAATTATGGTGGAAAATAAGTATTTGGTCAATAACAAAAGTTTCTCAATACTTTGTTATATACCCTTCGTTGGCAATGACACATGTCAAACGTTTTCTGTAAGTCTTCACAAGGTTTTCACACACTGTTGCTGGTATTTTGGCCCATTCCTCCATGCAGATCTCCTCTAGAGCAGTGATGTTTTGGGGCTGTCGCTGGGCAACACAGACTTTCAACTCCCTCCAAAGATTTTCTATGGGGTTGAGATCTGGAGACTGGCTAGGCCACTCCAGGACCTTGAAATGCTTCTTACGAAGCCACTCCTTCGTTGCCCGGGCGGTGTGTTTGGGATCATTGTCATGCTGAAAGACCCAGCCACGTTTCATCTTCAATGCCCTTGCTGATGGAAGGAGGTTTTCACTCAAAATCTCACAATACATGGCCCCATTCATTATTTCCTTTACACGGATCAGTCGTCCTGGTCCCATTGCAGAAAAACAGCCCCAAAGCATGATGTTTCCACCCCCATGCTTCACAGTAGGTATGGTGTTCTTTGGATGCAACTCAGCATTCTTTGTCCTCCAAACACGACGAGTTGAGTTTTTACCAAAAAGTTCTATTTTGGTTTCATCTGACCATATGACATTCTCCCAATCCTCTTCTGGATCATCCAAATGCACTCTAGCAAACTTCAGACGGGCCTGGACATGTACTGGCTTAAGCAGGGGGACACGTCTAGCACTGCAGGATTTGAGTCCCTGGCGGCGTAGTGTTTTACTGATGGTAGGCTTTGTTACTTTGGTCCCAGCTCTCTGCAGGTCATTCACTAGGTTCCCCCGTGTGGTTCTGGGATTTTTGCTCACCGTTCTTGTGATCATTTTGACCCCACGGGGTGAGATCTTGCGTGGAGCCCCAGATCGAGGGAGATTATCAGTGGTCTTGTATGTCTTCCATTTCCTAATAATTGCTCCCACAGTTGATTTCTTCAAACCAAGCTGCTTACCTATTGCAGATTCAGTCTTCCCAGCCTGGTGCAGGTCTACAATTTTGTTTCTGGTGTCCTTTGACAGCTCTTTGGTCTTGGCCATAGTGGAGTTTGGAGTGTGACTGTTTGAGGTTGTGGACAGGTGTCTTTTATACTGATAACAAGTTCAAACAGGTGCCATTAATACAGGTAACGAGTGGAGGACAGAGGAGCCTCTTAAAGAAGAAGTTACAGGTCTGTGAGAGCCAGAAATCTTTCTTGTTTGTAGGTGACCAAATACTTATTTTCCACCATAATTTGCATATAAATTCATTAAAAATCCTACAATGTGATTTTCTGGATTTTTTTTCTAATTTTGTCTGTCATAATTGACGTGTACCTATGATGAGAATTACAGGCCTCTCTCATCTTTTTAAGTGGGAGAACTTGCACAATTGGTGGCTGACTAAATACTTTTTTTCCCCACTGTACTTTAGTCTATTTATTTAAATCAAATTATTCCCACCTAATTAGTTAAAGTCGGTGCATATTTATATTTCAACGATAAACCGAATTATTTCGGTCTAATTATTTAACCAGTATTTTGCAGGGTCAAACATCAAACATTAAATCAAATAATAAACCAAATAGCCTCAACCCAAGCACCTAAAACCAGTATTATGCTATGTCAAACATCAAACATTAAATCAAATAATAAACCAAATTGCTTCGACACAACTATAGCCATTCATCACTATACCTTTATGTTCCCAATTGTTATTAACGGGTTATACGGTTTAAGCAACCACAAGTTATTCACAAATTATACAGTTTGGACAGCCACAGACGTCTTTAATTCCCAATTAGTTTTCTATCAAGGTATACAGGTTTATCATTCACTCTCTCATGCATACGACAACACTCTGATCTTAGCCGTACCTAGCCTTTGCTGATACGTGTCAATAGCGTCACCCCTTTCTTAAAGAATTTTAAGTGCCTCCTATGTACCTAGTCATATCTAGTCTGAACTGATATGTGCCATAGCGTCGCACTGCCTATCTATTTAAAGTACCTCCTATGGGTGTCTTTTGTTAATGTTTGCACAATTTAAACTTTATTTCCTAATTGTAATTCTCATTATTTACTGTTTTAAAATATTGTTTGTATTCACAGCCAAAAATGGTACAGTTATTACACAGTTAAACGTAGTATACAGTTATCACACAGCAAAAATAGTACACAGTTATCGCACTCACTCACAATACACAGTCATAATCCTATCACACAGTCAAATATGTCACACAGTCATAAATGACACACTTACACTCGACACACAATCTATTTGGGCACACAGCCTCTTCTATGGGCACACAGCCGCTTCTATTGGGCACACAGCCTCCACTATGGGCACACAGCCGCTTCTATTGGGCACACAGCCCCCTCTATGGGCACACAGCCGCTTCTATTGGGCACACAGCCTCCTCTACTATGGGGCACACAGCCTCCTCTACTATGGGGCACACAGCCTCCTTCTACTATGGGGCACACAGCCTCCTACTATGGGGCACACAGCCTCCTTCTACTATGGGGCACACAGCCTCCTTCTACTATGGGGCACACAGCCTCCTTCTACTATGGGGCACACAGCCTCCTTCTACTATGGGGCACACAGCCTCCTTCTACTATGGGGCACACAGCCTCCTTCTACTATGGGGCACACAGCCTCCTTCTACTATGGGGCACACAGCCTCCTTCTACTATGGGGCACACAGCCTCCTATTATCCCATGGGTTTAACCGTCAGAATTATCAAACATTTGCATGGTATCTTATAAAATTGAATTAGTATTCTATAATCGTTATTTATAGCGTAATAGAGTTCACTTACATCAAACAGGTGCTTCACAAAATTAATTTGGATAAAGCCAATGTGCAGAACTTTAGTTACATAACAATAGGTGTCTGCTTACCTGTTTTTAGAAGCCCGGGCACTTTGTGAAACACACCGTTCAACGACAGCGAAGTCCAATGGGCTGGATGAATTCCAGCGAAGTTCCGCTACCAGATCACAGTCGGAGGTCACCAATTGTTAGAAATTGCCTAATTCAAATCTGATATTGGAATAAGAGAAAACATAAATCAAGAGATATTCAATCCAAGCTAAATTTATTATATGCAAAATGTATGTATGATAAGAATGATGGTTCGTATACGGGCTCACTGAAATACCACGCAGGGCAGACAGAGAACTGACTTCCTCATTACACATCCTTCCGTAAATACCCTGACAGTTTTAGTTCCCGCTCTCTGCTGGGCCTATCAGGGTAGAGGTTGGGCGTGGTTTAGACTTGCCCAACCTATCGCTGGCGCTCAGGCTGGTCCCAGACCCTTGGCGCTCCACTGTTGCACACTGTTGCCAGGCATAAGTTGTTATCATAACAACCTGTAGAGTCAGCACCCATAGACACCGTTCCACTGTACTCTATGTACCTACGTTCAAGGACGGTTCACAGATCACAAAGAGGCAGTGTAGTCTAGTATTTTGAGACACAAGTTCTTATCTCCCCCTACTCCCTAAAACATCTCCTCACATTAAATCACAGCTTGTTAGGTGAAACAATTTATATCAGTACAGTACAAACCCTTCATGCTTAATCATCAATAAATTCCTTCCAAGGTAGTCATCACATCCAGCTATGAGAAAACAAATCCCCACAATGATTAAATACAATTTTTGTGTTCTGTAAGTAGTAAGTACATTTGACATCTACCCTTAAATGCAACATGATATCATTCCAAAACAGTAACCCAGCAAATATAAAGCAATTCAACTCAAACAAAAACTTAGTTCCACGTTCAACCAAGTCACTTCCACACTCATACACTGCTGGTCAACATCACCTTGTCAATACAACACTGTAGTTCTATCTTGTAAATACATAACAAACAAGCTTATATAATTAACCAAACACACATTTGTAGTACCTATGTATGCATTAGGTCCTATTAGTTGTTCAACCCGATGATACAGGCAAGGTAATATAAAGGGATTAGTTTGTACAGTACAGCTTTGGAGTTAAAGGCACAATATTTCTAATTAAACAAGTCTGTCTATTCAGAGATTATTACTTCTATTTCTAAATACAAGAAGCATTTTACCTAGTAGCCGGTTGCCATTTTGTTTCTGCTTTAGCCAACTCAATGACAAAGGGGTTTGTTAAAGCATAAAAACAGAATAGCAACCAGGCAAGGCATTTCTTTCAGTGCTGGTCAAATTTGTTTTATTAACATACCCTGTGTTATGTTTCTGCATTGTTAAAAAGGACACTACATGTCATACTTTTTCCCCAGTGTGCTTTGAATTATCGTATTGTGCAGTCAGTCAGTAGACTAGAGGACTGCCTTTTCCCCAGACAGGGAGTGCCATTGAGTAAAATAATCTGGAAAGCCCCTCACGTTGCCTGTCCTCCCTTTTTCTTCCATCCTTAGTTTCTTATTTTTTTCCCACTTCACCCTTTGATACATTTTAAATGCATGAGTCCCCAGTTAACTACAAGCTCTAACCTAACAACTATACTTTCCCCTCCATTCTATTATGCAGCTGGTCAGCCACTCAATTTGATGGGCCAGCCCCATGATTGGTCCTTTCCAACTTTGGTCGCTTGTGAGTACAGGAAGGTGGGATTTGCTGCTGGAAGACCTCTCTGATTCGCTCTACACAGATGTCTGAGGCCACCTGTGTCTCCTTAGCAAGCCCCGATAGGCTGAGGAAGCCATGTGGTAGGTCCTCCACCACCCTCAGGGTCACTGGTTGGCCCATATCCCGCAGTTTCTTGGCGAACATCACAGAGTCATCCAACAAGGCATCCAGTGCAGAGGCCTATGGGGACAGACAGGGGAGTAAGAATGACAGAAAACTCAGAGATCTAAAAAGGGGCCAATCTGGATATGCTTCCTCCATTTCTGGACTGTTAAATTAATGATATGTAGGCCCCTTTTCAGTACACGACACACTGACGTCAGGCATGGAATGCACACGATTTTTGGAGGCAGAATGACCCCCATCGCCATCTGCGTCCATTCAACATAGCCTAGATTTCTGCAGTTATTACTTCTAAACAAAAAAACTTTTTTCATACGCTTACAATGTTGTTTTGATTATTGCTTGAACAGTCGCTAAGAATATATTTGGTTGTGATCTTTGCAAAATACTTATTTTGGATGCAGCAGTTGATAGCTAGAATGCCAACGCTCATTGACATAAGAGCTCTAGCCAAAATGCTGAAGTTGGAAGTGTTTTTTAAGTATAATGCAGTTGATTTGCGACGATGACAAATATTATATTAAGCAGGATATTCATACAAGCCTTAAAATCCAAATTATAATCCAAAAGTAGTGTCAAATGCACTCATAAGCAACATGTAAATAGAGGCTTGTTTTGTTGGCGGTTTATGAGAACTCCCATGTTCTGCAACCAATATGGCATGCTTCGCCACTCCTCCGAGTGGCCACTAGAGATCCTGGTTTGAATCCAGGCTCTGTCGTAGCCAGCCGCGACCGGGAGACCCATAGGGCAGCGCACAATTGGCCCAGCGTCGTCCAGGGTAGGGTAGGGGAGGGAATGGCCGGCAGGGATGTAGCTCAGTTGGTAGAGCATGGCGTTTGCAACGCCAGGGTTGTGGGTTCGATTCCCACGGGGGGCCAGTATGAAAAAAATTTAAAATAATGTATGCACTCACTAACTGTAAGTCGCTCTGGATAAGAGCATCTACTAAATTACTAAAAATGTTTTTTTTAATGCAGTAATGTTTGCAAACACAGAAAGGGGTCTATAGAGCCCCACAGTGCAGGTGTCATAATACCCATAAAACCTAGCAGTCAAACAGGGAAGGGGGTATGCTTCCCTGTTTGGATAAACAACCAGAAATAACTATTGATTTTTTGCTTAATTAAGAAAAAACTTAGATTTGTGTTTTGGATTGTTGAGGCAATTAGACTATGCCCATTTCAAGCTTATCTTTCTAAAAAGTAAAAAGTTATTGATCTTGCTTTGTAGTATACCCCTCCAAACCCAAAATATAAGCTTGTTTTACGCCAATGTTAATGTAAACAAACTGTATAGCTTCAAAACATGGTTAAAAGTATCATTTTGATCTCATGGATGGTCAGTCCTTGCATCTATAGCTCGGTGGTTATACCTATATTTCTCAAGCCCCATCCCTCAGCTGTTTACCAAAACAAGTGGCGGGGTGATCGCTTATTATTTGAACTCCCGATTGGCCCTTAAAGTGGAAAGACCATCAATCGTGGAGTGTTAGAGAGACCAGTGAACAATGACAAAATAGACCCACTGCAGATTTTTATGAGTACTACTTCAGTGCGGTGGCGGAACCCCCGGCCCCCACGACAGCACGCGTGCGACACCCACACTGCTCAAATCATAGACAAATGCACCTTTTTTTACCTAATAATGCTGTTGGCAAAAGACTGCCTCAGTAGGAATGGTAGGCTATAGACTGTTGTGGGTACTTGGCAATTGGCTGCTCTTCAGTAGCTAACTAGAAATATGTTTAAATGTACAATCAGGGACGTAATCATTAGTCCAAACAGTTAAAACTAGAGTTTCTATTGGACAAATTCAGGAAAGTCCCTCCCTGTTTCTTTCTGTTTGCTTCCGTTTAATGTTTAAGAAACGTTTTGCAACAGATCGGCAAAATGAATACACCCCAGGGCCAATGTTCCCTCAATGTTTTCATCACTGAGCAAATTTCAGGTCTGCTGAGTGAAAACTTGAACGTTGTGAAAAATCTGTGCAACTTCCAGCACACGTTTACTGTGCACACTGTTTACTGTGAACACCTTTTAAGTTATAGTTTTAACAGTGGCCTACCATTTAAAAAAATTGAAAATACATCCCATAACATTTTAACATGGAAATAGCTAATAAAATAGCTGTTATACCTATGATACTGCCTACAGTAGAAGCCAATGTGTGGTGTTCAATGTAGACTTCTAAAAACATTATGCAGGGCTTGATATAACCCCTTTAGCCACTTGTCCTTCAGACAGAGGCTGAAAATGCTGTTGTATTGTGTTGTTTGATGCAATACAACATTATTATTATTATTATTATTGTTATTATTCCCATACCATTATTATGACAGAGAATCAGTCAAAAATGTATGCTACCCTCTGCCTATTGGCTTCTTCGCTTATTCAAAATGGCTAGAAATGTAGGCCTAAACGTTTTGTGCTCTTGTAGGAAGCAATCACTCCCCCATTGCTGACCAGAAATATGCTATAATTGGGCTAATAACTCACTAACTAGCAAAGAATATGAACAAATATGCACACGCGCATCTACTCTCCACCGCTCGTGCCTGTCATTGCATGGAGTCCTCCTTCCGATGCGCTCTGCCTAAAACAAAATCAGACTACTGGTAAATCTTGCATAGTTAGATTTGTTTCGGTATGTTGCATTAAAAGGGACTAATATTATGCTGATTTGATCATAATTCCCACAGTAGAGGGAAACATTGATAGTGTAACCTCCCTGGGAAAAGGTTCTCATGCGCAGCTTAGAGGGAACATTGCCCAGGGCTCTCCCTAAGATTTTCTGACAAGGTGGTGTTGATTGTAGGTGGCATTTAGCTTTTTTTTTTTACCTGTAACTGCCATTTATTGAAACCTAGAGTCTTAAATGATATCAATCAATGTAGGCAAGTTTGATCCTAAATAAAATGTTGATTGTCTCAATGACACTTTCATTTTGGGGAAATGATTATTCTAATTAATAGGCGTCTTTATGTGAATAGTCTAGTGAAAATGTAAACTAGCTTTTTAATTTTGTTTGGGGAGAAGATTCGGAATTATTCAATTACTGGATGCAATGTAGTAGTCTAGATTACTGTAAGCTATTTGGAATATGAAACAACTGAACTAGGCCTATATGAGCTTGTTTCAGATCTCCATCTCTGACCTAATCCATCAAGTTAGGTCTGACTACTAGGCTAGCATTCATTCAACATGCCTTGTTGTCATTGGTGAACTGACTATTACTATCATTAGCAGCCAACTGTTTGTTGACATTTAGCTACAATTGAAGTCGGAAGTTTACATACAGTTAGATTGGAGTCATTAAAACTCGTTTTTCAACCACTCCACACATTTCTTGTTAACAAAGTATCGTTTTGGCAAGTCGGTTAGGACATCTACTTTGTGCATGACAAAAGTAATTTTTCCAACAATTGTTTACAGACAGATTATTTCACTTATAATTGTCTGTATCACAATTCCAGTGGGTCAGAAGTTTACATACACTAAGTTGACTGTGCCTTTAAACAGCTTGGAAAATTCCAGAAAACAATAGTACGCAAGTATAAACACCATGGGACCACGCAGCCGTCATACCGCTCAGGAAGGAGACGCGTTCTGTCTCCTAGAGATGAACGTACTTTGGTGCGAAAAGTGCAAATCAATCCCAGAACAACAGCAAAGGACCTTGTGAAGATGCTGGAGGAAACAGGTACAAAAGTATCTATATCCACAGTAAAACGAGTCCTATATCGACATAACCTGAAAGGCCGCTCAGCAAGGAAGAAGCCACTGCTCCAAAACCGCCATAAAAAAGCCAGACTACGGTTTGCAACTCCACATGGGGACAAAGATCGTACTTTTTGGAGAAATGTCCTCTGGTCTGATGAAACAAAAATAGAACTGTTTGCCCATAATGACCATCGTTATGTTTGGAGGAAAAAGGGGGTCGGCTTGCAAGCTGAAATACACCATTCCAACCGTGAAGCACGGGGGTGGCAGCATCATGCTGTGGGGGTGCTTTGCTGCAGGAGGGACTGGTGCACTTCACAAAATAGATGGCATCATGAGGAAGGAAAATGATGTGGATATATTGAAGCAACATCTCAAGACATCAGTCAGGAAGTTAAAGCTTGGTCGCAAATGGGTCTTCCAAATGGACAATGACCCCAAGCATACTTCCAAAGTTGTGGCAAAATTGCTTAAGGACAACAAAGTCAAGGTATTGGAGTGGCCATCACAAAGCCCTGACCTCAATCCTATAGAACATTTGTGGGCAGAACTGAAAATGCGTGTGCGAGCAAGGAGGCCTACAAACCTGACTCAGTTACACCAGATCTGTCAGGAGGAATGGGCCAAAATTCACCCAACTTATTGTGGCAAGCTTGTGGAAGGCTACCCGAAACGTTTTACCCAAGTTAAACAATTTAAAAGCAATGCTACCAAATACTAATTGAGTGTATGTAAACTTCTGACCCACTGGGAATGTGATGAAAGAAATAAAAGCTGAAATAAATCATTCTCTCTACTATTATTCTGACATTTCACATTCTTAAAATAAAGTGGTGATCCTAACTGACCTAAGACAGGGCATTTTTACTAGGATTAAATGTCAGGAATTGTGAAAAACTGAGTTTAAATGTATTTGGCTAAGGTGTATGTAAACTTCCGACTTCAACTGTATATCAAGATGAGAGGACAGATCAAGAACTGATTAATTAACATAGGCCTACTAATCTATAAAAGTCTTTCTGTGAAGGGGGGTATTAGTGGAACAGCTCTCTCTGGGGGGGGGGGGGGGGGGGGGTGATTTTTTCTCATCGCCCAAGTCCTCTGATTGGCTCAGCTCCAACTTCAGACGGTTGAGTCAAAAACCACAATGTTCCAACTAGAAGCCTATTTCTGCATATTTTAGGGTCGTTTTTTGTACCTGCGAACTTTGACCTCAAATTGCGTGCATGGTCCGCAAAATGAGTGCAGTTTGGCAGGTCTGATATTCTTTTGCTTTCTTGGCTTTTCCATCGCTCTCAACCTCCACACCAGTTTTTCCAAATGCATCGACTCCACCACAACCACTCCTTTACACACACACACACTCTCCCTTTACCCATCCATTCCCTCCATCCCTCATCCCCCCTCTCACCACTAAGTGTACAGGCGGTAGTCCTCTCAGTAGGTCGACAGGGGATAGAAGCGGTGACACAAACGGGTTCTTGACAATGGGACAGCTAGGCGTCTGGATCACAGACAGGCGCTCAGAGCGCAGGGGCTCAAAACCTTCTGGGTAGTCCCTAGGACCTGAGGAGTAGTTGGATGAGGAGGAACAGGGTGACGTTGATCTGTAGTGGGCCTCGTTGTCGAGGGATCTATGGTGTGACGATGACAGTGACCCTAGGACCTCTGCAGGAAGGAATGACTGGATCCAATTGGACGCCCCCTGTGTGAGGTCACTGATCAGCAAGGCTGTATCTCTACCTAGAGCACTTAACGTGCTGGTCCCCTCTGTGGGCTGTACCACCTGAGAGTCTACACCTGGAGAGAAAGTGGAAAAGAGGAAGAAGAGGTAATTGGGGAAAAAAAGGAGGACGGAAAATGCAGTTATTTAAGACCTACACACAAAAACATCACTCTTAATGCTGAGACATTCTTTGCCCCTTAACTCTAATTTCCATAAGCTTTGCCTAATACCCTCATCCCTTTCACATCCTTCCTTCCTTCCTTACCAGCGTAGGCGTTGAGGCACTTGGAGAGCACTCCTAATGGCAGCAGTGGGTCAATGAGGGTGAGCAGACGGGAGGGCGAGGCGTCAGTGGTGAGCAGGGTAGCTGGGTAGGCAGCCATAATACCATCTGGGACACGCACACCGCAGGCCATGGCCCTCATAGACACGGTGATGCAGAGGTTCCCCCCAGCACTGTCCCCAGCCAGACACACACGCTCAGCCGTGGAGCCTGGGGCAGAGGGACAGAGCAATCAGTACCAGCTGGTCTGATACAGGCGGTTGTTATAATACTGCAATAACAGATTACTAATAATATTGACCGGCAGGTCCTCTGTCTAGGTAAGAACCCTTTTATTTGGTTCTAAACTCTAACACATTAGTAACGACACCGACCCAGAAGATGGCAGTTCTTGAGGGCCCAACAGTAGGCGTAGAAGCACTCCTCCAGGGCTCTGGGGAAGGGGGCCTCAGGGGCCAGGGAGTAATCCACAGACAGGATGGGGACATTTAGATCCTTGGACCAGCTCTTCAGATAGTTCTGGAAGATAGAGTGAGAATGGAGGACAAATGGAGAGAGAAAATGGAGATGTGACAGGAAAATTAAACAGAAGTGTTAAAAGAGAGGAAAGTAGACTTCATGGTAAGTGCTAAGCCCCACTTAACTTGATTACTGAGAGACTAAGGTGAGTGACTAGCTTAAGTAATTGCAGGCATCACACCACTATCCCTGGCCTACCATACCTCATGGGATTTCGAGGTCTGGGCCACGAAGCCTCCTCCATGGAAGTGGATCAGCAGCCAGGGGGAGGGAGGGTGCTTCTGGGCACCAAATGGCACCAAAGACAGGGAGATGGGGGTAGCTTCTGTACGAGAGAAAGACAGCAGCTCTTCACTGTCCTGAAGGAAGAAAGAGAGAGAGATGTTTGCATCATAACTGAACCTTTTTACACTAACATGATTAAACAGTGCAGAACTGTGATAAAAACATCACATAGTAACCACTGAGGTTACAGCTGAGAGCTCACCTGTCCTTCTCGAAGCTCATAGGAGATGAGCCGCATGTTGACAGGTCCAGGGCCCCAGTGGGCCACCGGAGGGGACACAGGGGCAAAGAGACGGGGGTCTGAGGCCAGGGGGAGGCGCAGTGGTTTAGGAGGTATGGTCAGGGTGATGTTCAGCTGCACTAGGTTAGAGGCTATACTGGCCAAGCCCTGTGGGAGGGAGGGATAAAATGATGAAGAGGATGTTGTAAACGGTCTTAAAAGCAATCAAACCAACAGAAAGATGGGAAGAGCAAGAAAAGAGACTGAGTAAGTAGGGGAAACAGACACAGAGACCCGGAGAGACTGCAAGATGCAAGACATCCTTATTTGCATACAATATCATATTGCTAGTCGACACCCTTCTCCCCTCACCGATAGAAGATCTGATTCTGTGAGGTTCCAGAAAGACTTCCAGAACTTCATGTCCAGATTCTGGGTGATCCGCTCAAACTCTGCTCCCCTCAGCTCTGGATCAATGACATACTTCCCAGAGGTAAGGAAGGAGAAAGCTGCCATACCTGAGGGAAATGGAGAGTGAATGCAAAGTCTGTTTGGCAGTGCATACTATGCACTACCTTTTAAAAATGTCAAAGGATAACCACAAATCTTACAAAAGGCCCTACTAAGTAGATAGTCAGTCAGGTTGATTGAGATAAGTTCTATTACGAAAGTTCAATCAGGAAGGCTGTTCTGAATGTTTGTTTAACTTCATCCAGTATGCATAAAATAATTCACTTTTGTTTCCTATTCTACGGGCATGGTGGGAATTAATACAAACATATCATCATCAGCATAGCATCTCGTTTCTTCTCCTCTTTCTTATTAGCCATGTGTGGAATGTCATTCACCCATTTACCGTGTATAAGCACAATAATGCACATTCCTCACGCTTGCTGTTTAACCTACTTCTGCAATTATCACCTTCCTCTCTCTCTCAACCAATAGGCATACATCTTGGGATGCATTTATATGTCAAACTTAGCCGTGTTCTCTTACTTGCTGTATTATAGAAAAAGTTACCGACAACCCTCCATCTCCCCACTAACACCAGCTATAATAACGGCCCGTCATTAGAACTCCTTTCCCCAGCGGGGAAATCACATCATCTGGCTCAAGGATCTTCCCTCAGAGACGAGGCCATTCCTCAAACGACTTAATAAAATGTAATATTGCATTCAGTCTGTGTTGTTTATTCAGGTAAGCCTGTACTCCACTAAACTAAAATATATATCGTTTTTACAAGTTCTTACAGCCCAAAGAATTCACAGACATTTACAGAGACTGACCTAACCCAGACTGTTGTTTTCCGTAGCTCTCTCCGAATGAGACCATGCTTATGACAACTGTCTGCAGGAACGGACGAAGGGTAGGCGAGAACTGGGGAGACGGAGGGAAAATTAGGATTTCAGTATCATTAGTCTCGCGTAGCCATACCTCCAAAAACGTTATTGTCAGGGAAGCCTGGTTCTCGACGAGGCTACAGTATCATCCACCATCAGTATATTCCCAAGTCATGAAAAGCTTAGTCCAGCGTTCACAATGACCAATTGCTAAATTATATCTTATCAACATTATATTGAATTCAATGCGCCACTCCTCCCACAAAGTCAACAAGTGGTGATGACTGACCTGAAAGCCCAGGCAGCGGCCATAGAAGCAGGCCTTGTGCATGGAGGTGTACTCCCTCACAAACCTCCTGCTCAGCTCTCCATCCTGCAGGGAGTACAGCTGCCCGTGACCATTGTCGTGGAGCAGACGCTGAGCGAGGTAGAGGAGGGCCCGCAGCTGACACAGGGCACTGCAGTAGGCTTCCATCTCTGAGGCATTGTGGTTGGCCCTGAAGAAGGCCCTGTGGCAGTTAGAGGCAATGTAGCGGCCCTTGTGGATGATGTGCAAAAGGCAAGACTGCAGCACCTGAGAGATGAGATGGGATGCTTTTTTGTCAGCTGGTATTGTGAATAAAATGAATATATTTCTAGTTTTGCATTATATTAGTAATCCAAGATGCTCCATCTCACCTTCCTTGTATTATCCCTCTGTTGCTAGCTTGCTCAGTCTTTTGACTGTGTGATTGTCTCAGTCTCTTGACAATCACACGACGTGATACTTCTTCTAGACTACTGACATCATAATTCTGGGCAGTGAAGTTAGTAGAAAAGGTATGTTATTATAGCTTACCTTTACCAGTGTGCGATACCCATTCCCAGGGGTCTCTGTGTCAAAGTCATAGTGGTGGTAGACTGCAGTAAAACCAGCAACCACGGGTTCGAGGGCATGGCCATGTTCCTGAATCTTTCTCATGCAGGTCACCAAGCGCCCGGAAGCGTTACTGTACAGCAAGTCGGTAGGCCCAGACAGAGCTGTGATGTTTTCCTCACACACTGCCTCCAAGGCTGTGAACACAGCTCTCCAGTCCATACCTGAAACACTAGAGAGAGAACATACATAAACTAAATATTTTATTTCTGTATGACTATATTATATTAGCTTTGACAGATTAAATGCAGGAGATTGAAAAAAAAAAAAGTTATCTGACTAACCTCTTTAGAAGGAGAATTGTGCTTTTTTACAAGCCCCCCAAAAATATATGTATGGCGCGCTTTATACACTTTTTATTTTATTGAACTTGCCCCAACCATTCTCATCCTCATTGTACAGGGGATCTGAAAAAACAGGAACTAAGTCTCCAAAAACACCCAAATATGTCCTTTTAGAAAAGGAAAAGCTCTCAGTATAGTGATGCAAGTCTTTAGATGTTGTACACATGAAATTGTGTCATACCGAACTTTATCAGCAATGTTATATTCCATTTTGTTGCGACTCAATCGATACCCCTCTGTCCATTCTACAGGTAACTGCCAAAATAAAGGAAACACTTGAGTAAATGAGGGATACAAAGTTGCAGACACTATGAATCTATGCCAAGGCGCACTGAAGCTGTTCTTGTGGCTCATAGTGGCCCAATGCCCTATTACGACACTTTATGTTAGTGTTTCCTTTATTTCGGCAGTTACCTGTAGCAGTAGGCTACACTGAGAATGGAACAGCTGGATATGGAAAACATCTTGAGTCGCACAAAATGGAATATAACGTTGCAAATAAAGTTCTGAATGACACAATTTAATGTGTACAACATATAAAGACCTGTATCACTATACTGAGTGTGTCAGTTTCTAAAAGGACGTGTTTTGGAGCATTTGTTCATGTTTTTTTCAGAGCCCCCATACTGCACAATGAGGATGATTGGGGTAAGTTTCTCAAAAACAAGTGAAATCGCAAAACAAGTGTCTGGACCCTATAACATTACATTTACATTTTTAAAAAGCAAACTTCTCCTTTAATGACGGGTTTGGTTGTGTGTGCCAAAGGTCAAAGATTAAAACATACAACTATCCCAAGACTCTTCCTACAAACAAACTGTACTTTTAACCTGTTGACAACATTTATCAAAATGAAAACAATCTTGTCATATATCCTAAAGGTATAGGCCTAGTCAATACAAGAGTACCAAGAATCATGAATCAACAGAAATTAACCAACCTTGGTCCCATAGATAAGACTGATAAGTTCTCTATTTTGTCCTTAGCTTGATTGACAGCAGTGCAAATTCTTTGATATCCTACTTTATTTCAGCACAGTTCTTATGGAATTAGTTTTGTGCCTTTAATATCAAGCAAACCTTTTAAATTCGAGAACAACATTTTTATTATTGCAAATAAAAATAATGATATTGAAAGCAAAACATGAACCCAAAAGTTTTGAAAGCAGAATAAATTATATTGCAAGGAAATCATTCTGAAAGGCAAGAACAAATGAATTATAAATAAATGCAAAGAAATTGTTTTCAGTGAAACATTTTCAATCATAATGAGATTGCGATGAAACGCTTCCCTCTTTGGCAGTGGTGTAAAGTACTTAAGTAAAAATACTTGAAAGTCCTACTTAAATAGTTTTTGTGGGTAATCTGTACTTTACTATTTATATTTTGGACAACTTTTCCTTTACTACATTCCTAAAGAAATGAATGTAATTTTTACTCCATACATTTTCCCTGACACCCAAAAGTACTCGTTACATTTTGAATGCTTAGCAGGACAAGAAAATGGTCTAATTCACACTTATCAAAAGAACATCCCTGGTCATTCCTACAGCCTCTGATCTGATGGACTCACTAAACACATGCTTCGTTTGTAAATTATGTCGGAATGTTGGAGCATGCCCCTGGCTATCCGTAACTGAAAAAAAGAAAATGATGCCGTCTGGTTTGCTTAATATAAAGAAATTGAAATGATTTATACTTTCACTTTTCATACTTAAGTATATTTAAAAACAAATACTTTCACTTTTACTCAAGTAGTATTTTAAATGGGTGACTTTTACTTTTACTTGAGTCATTTTCTATTAAAAAGGTATCTTTACTTTTACTCAAGTATGACAATTGTGTACTTTTTCCACCACGTTACCCTGCCCTTTGCTTTCGCTGCCTTTTTATGCGTTTGCAAAGTTTGGGAACATTAATTCCGTGTAGGTGGGGTTTAGAGGGAGGCGTAAATGTTGCTTCTCTATTGGTCAACCGGTTTTGGAGTGACCATTCATCCTAATGTTTTATATCCCAGTTAGCAGCTTACATGATGGCCAGTACAGCTTTGTTTGATAGCTAGCTAGCTAGCAATGCCGAGAGGCAACAGTGTTTTCTGCTAACTAGCCAGCCAGTGTGTAAAAAAGCGTGACGTTTTGTATTCATTTAACTTTTCAATTTCTGATAAAAAGGACTCAGTAGCTACTAGCTAACGTTAGCCAGCTAGCCAACTGGGACTGACTAGCCTAGCTAGCTAACGTTTTAACAAGGAGGACATCAGGAAAAACCCTTTGGTAAGTGTCTTGTAATTTCTCATTTAGAAGATGCATTGAAACAATTAGCTAGCTAGATAACTAGCATGATAATAAAGTGCATTCGGAAAGAATTTAGACCCCTTGACTTTTTCCACATTTTGTTACGTTACAGCCTTATTCTAAAATGGATTCAATTGTCCTTTGGTCCCAGCTCTCTGCAGGTCATTCACTAGGTCCCCCCGTGTGGTTCTGGGATTTTTGCTCACCGTTCTTGTGATCATTTTGACCCCACGGGGTGAGATCTTGCGTGGAGCCCCAGATCGAGGGAGATTATCAGTGGTCTTGTATGTCTTCCATTTCCTAATAATTGCTCTCACAGTTGATTTCTTCAAACCAAGCTGCTTACCTATTGCAGATTCAGTCTTCCCAGCCTGGTGCAGGTCTACAATTTTGTTTCTGGTGTCCTTTGACAGCTCTTTGGTCTTGGCCATAGTGGAGTTTGGAGTGTGACTGTTTGAGGTTGTGGACAGGTGTCTTTTATACTGATAACAAGTTCAAACAGGTGCCATTAATACAGGTAACGAGTGGAGGACAGAGGAGCCTCTTAAAGAAGAAGTTACAGGTCTGTGAGAGCCAGAAATCTTGCTTGTTTGTAGGTGACCAAATACTTATTTTCCACCATAATTTGCAAATCAATTCATAAAAAATCCTACAATGTGATTTTCTGGAAAAAAAATGCTCAATTTGTCTGTCATAGTTGACGTGTACCTATTATGAAAATTACAGGCCTCTCATCTTTTTAAGTGGGAGAACTTGCACAATTGGTGGCTGACTAAATACTTTTTTCCCCCACTGTATGTGCCTCGACACAATCCTGTCTCTGAGCTCTACGGACAATTCCTTCGACCTCATGGCTTGGTTTTTGCTCTGACATGCACTGTCAACTGTGGGACCTTATTTAGACAGTTGTGTGCCTTTCCAAATCATGTCCAATCAATTGAATTTACCACAGGTGGACTCCAATCAAATTGTAGAAACATCTCAAGGATGATCAATGAAAACAGGATTCACTTGATCTCAATTTCGAGTATCATAGCAAAGGGTCTGAATACTTATGTAAATAAGGTATTTCTGTTTTACATTTGTAATACATTTACAAACATTTCTAAAAAACTGTTTCGCTTTGTCATTATGGGGTATTGTGTGTAGATTGATGAGAACCAAACGATTTAATCCTTTTGAGAATAAGGCTGTAACGTCACAAAATGTGGAAAAAGTCAAGGGGTCTGAATACTTTCTGAATGCACTGTATATATGAACCAGTATCTGTGCGTTCGAGACCTCTCTAACGCCCAGGAAGCTCAGATTCAAACTCCCATTCACCAGCTCTGCAAGTGTTATAATGTCAAAATACATTTGTTGATCACCAAATATGGAGTTTCGCTGAGCCACTATCTTAATTTACTCCCTTTACGCCCGGTATGTACTTCCAAAAAAGGTGTAAAAAAAAAAATTTACAAGCAACTGATTTTTTTAAATCTTCGGCACCTCCAATGTATTGATCTGATGTAGACTTCCAACCGAATGATTTGCATTGGAGGTGCCGAATATGCTTGTACGTTTTTATGTAGACCTTTTTTGGAAGTACAGTACTAGTCAAAAGTTTGCACACGCCTACTCATTCAAGGGTTTTTCTTTATTTTTACTATTTTCTACATTGTATAATAATAGTGAAGACATGAAAACTATGAAATAACACATATGGGATCATGTAGTAACCAAAAAAGTGTTATACAAATGAAAATATATTTTACATTTGAGATTTTTGGTTCCAACCGCTGTGTCTTTGTGAGACGCAGAGTAGGTGAATGGATGATCTCCGCATGTGTGGTTCCCACCGTGAAGCATGGAAGAGGAGGTGTGATAGTGTGGGGGTGCTTTGCTGGTGACACTGTCTGTGATTTATTTAGAATTCAAGGCACACTTAACCAGCATGGCTACCAAAGCATTCTGCAGCGATACGCCATCCCATCTGGTTTGCGCTTAGTGGGACTATCATTTGTTTTTCAACAGGACAATGACCCAACACACCTCCAGACTGTGTAAGGGCTATTTGACCAAGAAGGAGAGTGACGGAGTGCTGCATCAGATGACCTGGCCTCCACAATCACCGGACCTCAACCCAATTGAGATGGTTTGGGATGAGTTGGACCGCAGAGTGAAGGAAAAGCAGCCAACAAGTGCTCAGCATATGTGGGAACTCCTTCAAGACTGTTGGAAAAGTATTCCAGGTGAAGCTGGTTGAGAGAATGCCAAGATTGTGCAAAGCTGTCAAGGCAAAGGGGGCTACTTTGAAGAATCTAAAAAATATTTTGATTTGTTTAATACTTTTTTGGTTACTACATGATTCCATGTGTTATTTCATAATTGTGATGCCTACACTATTATTCTACAATGTAGAAAATAGTAAAAATAAAGAAAAACACTTGAATGAGTAGGTGTGTCCAAACTTTTGACTGGTACTGTACATACCGGCCGTAACGCGAGTAAATTAAGATAGTTGCTCAACGAATGCATTCTGACATAA